CCTCCTGATCACCCTTCACCCCCTCTCCCTCCATTACTCTATCACTTTCCCCCTCTCTCTCTCTCTCTCTCTCTCTCTCTCTCTCTCTCTCTCTCTCTCTCTCTCTCTCTCTCTCTCTCTCTCTCTCTCTTCCCCCCCTCTCTCTCTCACTCTCTCTTACTTCCTCTTTCTCTTCACCCGCTTCGATATATTCGAGATCGAGGTTTCACGCATCTTTTTTAAAAGAGATCCTCCGATACAAAAACTGTCACTCAGCTGTCATTCGCCGCGATGACAGCTGCGAGCGACACGAATGCAGCCGTGACCGATCGAGACGATCGAGACAATCGAGACGACCAATCAACATCGCGGAAAAGAGGCTTCAACGCTTCGATAAGAAATACATTCATGCTAACACGCACTTTTTGGAAAAGGAAAAAGGTCCTATCTTAACTTGATCTAAAATTACGAAATGGAATTTACTTCTTATTGTACTTTCAAATTGATTTGGTTTTTTAAAATGTTTACATTTCATTTCTCCCATACGTATTCTAGCCACCAAACGCAAAATTGCTTTATGACTGGGATGTCATCTATCTGGCTATATGTTCATCGTATCGTGCGGTTCTATTTCTGTCCGTACGTCGACAACAGTTGCTGCATCTATTGGATCGCGTTAAGTCCAAGCGATTTCTTCAAGATCATCTCGGTGCGCGCTCATTCGTCAGATTTCGGTCATTAATAACTCGATAATTATTACGAATATCGCAAAATGGTACAGGACTTTTACGTCTGTCTTAATCCGCTCTATGTCTCGAACGAATTCCTCGTATCGAGTTATGAGACACCCTGTATATAAAATATCCCAGATCATTTGAACAATCTCTCATGGGAACGTAGAGTGGATCGAAACGAACACAAAGGTCCCATATTTTATTATTTTTAAGAAAATATTGTTAAAAGATCAAAAGGAAGGCAAGCGACAGAGGAGGAGCTTTCGAGCCGCCCATAGCTCATAACTCACTTTATTTAATAATTGTCTCACAAGGAACATCCACGAAATGTGTCTCCGATTTTGATCAAACTTGGCATATTTGTAGAGTAGCCAAAAATAAAAGACCCATTTAAAAATTGTACGTTTTTTATGCCATATAATTTTTGTTTAAAAAGTTTTTTTCTATCTGCAATAATTATCGAGATAGCATAAAGGGGATGAAATTTTGAGGGGCAGTTTCACCTGTTAAACCTGAAGCATTGCTGATAAAAAAAATATGGATTTTTTATTTTTGGCTATTCTATAAATATGTCAAGTTTCGTCGAAATCAAAGACACACACTTCGCGAATGTTCCTTATCAGTCGCGCGGCCGGCGATAGGGATAGAAACAACGCGCCGCCGTTTGTCTTTAAATCGGTATTTCTACGTCTTACCGCGCCGCATCTAGGATTGTGCTATTTATATTTTTCATTATAACAAAATTTCGAATGAACGACAAGTTTCTTCCATTTCATAACTTTTATATGAAACTTTTAAAACCATGTTACAGAATGCCAGGATTTTTATCTTTAGATTGTGAAATACTCATTTTCGGATGTATGTAGATTGCTTTTTTCATCAAAAAACAGCCATATCTCGCAATTTCATTTGAAACTTTTGTGTTTCCGATTACATATTTGCAAATTTCTCATCAACATATTTCGAAATCGAAAAGTTATTCATCATATTTGATGTTTCCAGCAAATATTTTCCTTTATAGCAATGTAAATTAATATACTTGTACTCTTTTCAATCAATTCTCGCTGATTTCGTTCTAATATGTCAATTTTATATTTTTCGTAACAAAACGAGTAAATCGCTATATTCGTTTGTCAAAATTTCACATTCTATTTAATATATACTTGAATTAGGATTTCTCTGTTCTTTTTTTTTTTAATCATAAACATCGAATTTGTGTTAAAAATGGGATCAGTATTGTTAAGTTCTACTAAGATAATTATGTGTTCGAGTATTCGGTATTTCGATGGACTTTAAACACGCCCGACATCAAGATACATATATAGCATCGTAAAATAATCTCGCGGTGTCAACATACGTAAATTTATCGCACATATACAGGACACACGCAAATCAATCGCGCTTTTCTTGATGTTTTCTTGATGTCCATTTTCTATGGGTTTTTCCTTTGAATATCGAGAAGTATACGCTCAGAATGTATATTCTTTTACGATTTCTTATAAACTCTTGATATATTAGATTTATAAGTAATTAAAAATTAGATATATAAGCGAGCTTTTAAAAGAGCCCATGGTGAAATAAAATATGTAAGACAAAAGAAAAGAAAATGGAATATTATTATCTGATAACAATGAATAATCATCGTTAATCGCTGTATCAATTATAAATCTTCATTTTTACAGAAACCTCCACCTTTAAGCGCTCCCCACATAAAATCCGCCGAAGCCTCGCGAAAAGTTTGCAGGAGAATAAATAATAAATCGACTCTGAATTTACCGGAATATCTACAGTTGATAAAAGGCGCGCTTGATTTAATGCATCCTGTATATCACGCTAATCAATATAACTAGCTTAATCCGAGCTTAAGAGGAAACTGCGGCTTCACGCTTGCCGCGCAACTGCTGTTTGGATATAGCTTTTTATGATATTAACGAATGGCTTATTGATTACTAATTATCCAACTCACATATTATCCGAATGTTATTATTCTTACTGTATTACCGCGGTATCTTTGCCGACTGTACCTTCGCGTGCACACCTCCGCTCTTATCATCGAGATCGTTCGACTCACGCTCCCACTGGCGTAATCGATCGAACATCCGAAATGGCTTCAGCGCTATATAATGCTGACAGTCGTTATTCGCGAATGAAGTGGAAGTCATATCGATCACACGTCGATATCCGACGTAACTAATTACTCTATTTATATGTGTTTCTAAATGTGCCATTACATATAATATAGCAGCAGTTCAACAGAAAGGACCGACAACGGGATACCAATATTTTCCAAATCACTCCCCCCTTCTCTCTCTCTCTCTCTCTCTCTCTCTCTCTCTCTCTCTCTCTCTCTCTCTCTCTCTCTGTCTTTCTTTTTCTATTTCTTTTTCTCTCTATTTCTTATTTAAATAACTAAAAATTAACATAATAAAATACACATAAGTCGTATACACGACCTAATTCAACAGATGTTAACGTTAAACACGATCGGTGATATCACCTATTTTCGTGCAGTTGTTGGCTAATATCCACTCGAATATGAAAGTTTTTACATAATAAAATAATAATATATAATAAAAACACGATATCCGTCAGGAAATAAGACTTTCTTAGTTTTCATTATGATGTGATTATTATACCGCAAGCAAATTTCCAGCTCTCCACAAAAAATAAAAAGCCGAAGATTTATAATCGTTTAGTGATTTTCTTCTATTCTACTTCTAGTTTTATTTCTTCGTTACTGCACCACTATCTTTCTACAATTTATAATTATATACAAACACAAACACACACACATGCCCGCATGTACAAAATGTCTGACCATTATTTCTTCAGAATACATATTAGGAAATTTAGAGACGAGAATTTTTCATAAAAATATATAGATATATTTTTAAATAGAAAAAGAGGATTCAAATGCATTAGTCAATTGTAATAGTTAAGGATCATGAACATTTAAGATAACAATTGAGTGAATAAGTTATCAGTAAATAGATTTAAATTGCGTTTAAAGGAAATTGCTATATATTTATCATTACAAGTAACGAAGACTTATATGATATAAAATTAATAGCAAATGCAACAAAGATAACTAATTTTTTTGTAGATGATACTATAATTATATACAATATTTTTGTGAAGGTATTATTATTGACATGAATAATAATTCATTTATTCGCGTACTAATATATGTAATTTTACTATCATTGCTAGCATAATCTTCACATTTATATATAGCGTATGTGCACGCTGCAACACTTTACATTATATTATATCTGAGCGCGTGAACTCTAATCAATATAATAGATAAGTCGCACATTTTAACTGTGTGCTACTTAAAACCTATTATTATTGGAATATATATGTTATTATTGGAATATTTTACGCACCAGGATTTTCTTCCGTGATTATATGCACAAATAATACTCTCTTAAGGAAAAACGCGACGATATAATGGGCTATACATGTGTATGTGTGTATTCACCTATTACTAGCAATACAAACGTTTATCTCTATGTTCCTTATCGCTATTATTTTCTCTATTTCTTTCTATTCCTTTTTCCGCTTATTTGTCACATTCTTTCATATTTTTATCTCCCTCCTACGTCATACTCTCACTCGCCCCTTAATCTCCGGCCTCTTCTTGCTCCCTCTTCGCCTTTCTGCTTTTTCCTCTTCGTTTCTTTCCTGTCTTTCTTTACTTCCTACTTGCTTTCTTCCTCTTCTCTGCCGATTCCAATCTCCTTATTATCTGCTCAACTTGTTCTTCTCCCATTCGTGTTACCTACTTCCCTCCCTCCCTCCGCTCCTCCTACTTCTATCACTCTCATCTCTCTCTCTCTCTCTCTCTCTCTCTCTCTCTCTCTCTCTCTCTCTCTCTCTCCTCTCTCTCTCTCTCCTCTCTCTCTCTCTCTCTCTCTCTCTCTCTCCTCTCTCTCTCTCTCTCTCTCTCTCTCTCTCTCTCTCTCTCTCTCTCTCTCTCTCTCTCTCTCTCTCTCTCCCCTCCCCTCTCTCTCTCTCTTCATCTCATCTCTCTTTTCATCTCTCTTCTATTCTCTCTCCATCTCTCTTCTCCCCTCTCTCCCCCTCTCTCCCCTCTCTACCCCTCTCTCCCCCTCTCTCCCCCCTCTCTCCCCCCTCTCTCTCCCTCTCTCTCCCTCTCTCTTTCTATCTCTTTTTCTTTCTCTCTCTCTCTTCCTTACTTTTTCCCACTCTCTGTTAAACAAAGTTTCTACTAACCTGCCTTCTTCTTACTATGTCTTGCTATGTCCCGCTTTCTTTTGTTTCTAGATATTGCAGAACCTACAAAAAAAACGCACTGAACGGAGGGGGCGCCTAAGTTCTGACAATATGACTAAAAAGAAGTCCGGTTTCAGCAAAAGCGACCTTATTTTTAAGGTAACCCGGCCTGACGTACGTGCGAGCTCACGTCCATTTGACTCGCATCGCGAGTCAGCCTCGGCAATTTTCCTTCCGGATTACGGGACAAGACAGAAGGAAGTCGATCCTTTTAATTTTTGATCCTCGGTTTTCCTTCTTTTTTTTCCGGCAACACATGCCTGACATGGCCCTCACGTATACTTTCTGACAATAAAACATTGTTAATAAAAGTTGTTTATCATATTTGGAATGTAGGACTCCTGCTCCCTTTCCTTGAGGACTATTTTAATATGAATGTAAAGAAAAATAATTAATAATATATTCACATAGTGATGTTTTAATAATTGAATGCCTCGGGAACTAACCGAAAATATTTTTTAACAAAATATTTGACTTTACACGCACACGTATACGCACACATACGCGTACGCAGCACACATACGTACACATACGCGCGCGCGCACGCACGGCGCACGCACATGTACACACGTACAGGATGTCCCATAATTGTAACACACCAACTCCATAGAGGTGTAGAGCTAAGCGAAAGGAATGAAAAAATCCTCTTTCATTTAACGATATCTCGCATAGTTTTTTAGTAATAACCGCGTAAAGTTCGGCGTTTGTCACGCCCATCGCGGCCGTCGTACGGCGCCAAGCGCCAAAACGCCATCGCGATGATCAGCGCGAGACGCGTTATCACTCAGCTTCGACGTACACAGCTCGCCGCGGAGCGTCTATGGGCCGTAACGAGCGTGACAAACGCCAAACTTTACGCGGTTGTTACTAAAAAACTATGCGAGATATCGCTAAATGGGACAGGACCTTTTTGTTCCTCTCGCTTAGCTCTATGCCGCTATGGAGTTCGTGTCTTACAATTATGAGACACTCTGTATACACTTTTCTGTGTGTGTGGGTGTGGGTGTGGGGGTATGGTGAGTGTGTGTGTGTGTGGGTGTGGGTGTGGATGTGTGGGTGTGTGTGTGTGTATGTGCGCGTGCACGTGCACGTCTGCGTGTTTTTCGTAAGTCTCAGTTTTTCTTCCTCAATGTTGAATATCGAGGCATTAATTTTTATAAGCATAATTAGAATTCTTGTTTCTTAAATAAATCTTCGTCGTTTGTCGAAGATAAATATCTAAAAAGACAATAATTAGTAGTATTGTTACGGATTAATCATTAATCCGATCGACTGCCGCTCTGTCCATGTCTCGCAGACTAGAAGTGGAGCTGATAAGGTTAATTAGACGGAGCAGCAGTACGCTGATTGGCTCGTTGGTTTATTACAAACATTCAGCTTCTATTTTTCGCCGCATTATACATTACATATACCCGCAGCTATAGGCTATGCTTCTATACATTTCACTATCGGCACCCGCCTAGCGATGAGAAAGTATATGTAACTATATACATATGTATGTATACATATGTATGTATATATATATATATATATATATATGTATGTATATATTATGACTTACTTTAGAGACCCAATGAATAAAGAGAGAATATTTAGCGTGATTAGGAGCGTATGCCATGTTTACGTCTGTTCTAAGTTATCTCATAAAGACTTCAATTTCCTATGATTGTTGATTGATTTGCGTGAAATTAGACACGAGTTCTCTATGGAAGTGAATGAACGGAAATCGGTTGCTAAATATCCAGTGTTATATGTCCGACTTGGACGATCGTCATCCTCGTCTGAATCTTTCCTTTCCTGCTCCATCTCCTCCCTTCCCCCTCCCCCCTCTCTCTATCTATCTATCTATCTATCTATCTATCTATCTATCTATCTATCTATCTATCTATCTATCTATCTATCTATCTATCTATTTATCTATTTGTCTATCTATCCATCTATTTATCCATCTATCTATCCATCTATCTATTTGCCTATCTATCTGTCTATCTGTCCATCTATTTATTTACCTGTCTGTCCATTTGTCTATCTGTCTATCTGTTTATCTATCTATCTATTTATCTATTATCTATCTATTTATCCTCTGACTTTTTTCTAATTTACTATTTATCGTAATGTTTATCTTCCCGATCCTTGCTTCCATATTGCAACCGCCACTATTCCATTTCTTCCGCAGTCCGCGGTTTAATGGACAAACGCAAACAGCCTGTTTCCACGCACTACTTTGAAACGCTTTTAATCGCTAGACGGTGTGCACGATCCTGTGAAAAATAAGCGCACGTGATTGGGCGTCCCTTCTCTGTTGCTTTGCTGCAAATCGCACACTATTATTATTACTATACTATATGTCCAAGAAAGATATCATTGCAATACGTTTGAAAATATACAGAGGGAGTAAATGAAGAAAAGAAAAAATGGATCGAAAGAAAAACAAGACATGCGAGTGTTCACGGAATAATAAATAGGGTGCAATACGTATGAGAGTAGAGAGTAGAGAGTAGAGAGCTCGCTTTCCTTGCCGCTGCTTTGAACGCTGCTGCGAACATTTATCATCCTTATATATCCCATCAGTTATGTATCATGCTAGCCACGCGTTTTGCTAGCGCTGTCTACTATATATCCATTCTTTTTTCCGCTCCTGTTGTTGCTTCTCGGCCGAGAGAATGGTGTATTTCGTAATATGGCTATTTGTGTGCTTGCGAAATCAGATGAAGCGAAAATACATATGATCAAAAAGTGAATCTGCTTTCTTGTTTCAATGCTTGGCTTGCGCCGCTTGACAACATGATCATTTTGAAATCTGCAGTTTTATTCTTCGTACTTTCTTCTTTCTTTTCGTTTATAATCACCTAAATCATATCTTAGCCGAAGTGTTAAAGTCATCTACGACGATGTCTCTTTCGTCGACTCCTTTCTCGTCGATTTTTCTTTGTTGTATTTTTAATTTTGCATAATCCACCTTTTGGGTTCTTTGTTCGTCGTTGAAGCGATACTGTTGCCATTTTACAATCGCCACACGTTAATTATTACGCTGATTATTCATTGATCGTTCGTTGATTGTTCGCTCATCATCGTGGAAACATGACAAATCAGGCTTTCACTTTTACTGAACTTGTGACTATTTCGTAGAACAGAAGGTTGATGTTGAGTTATGTTATATTGTTTACCCCTGTGTTCTTGTTTCCTTTGTTGGTTTATAAAAGCCACACGCCACGCGTATACATATGTATGACATTTTGCGTGGTACGCTTATTGAGAACATCGATATGATGTATGTATGCGTGCGTGCGTGTACACGATCTGTATTTTAGAGCAGGTAATGTATCGAGCTATATGTGGCCTTAGCAGTAAGTTTCCCATATTCTTACTTGTTACTCCCGTAGGCGCAGAAACAGTATTACCATTAATGATCATCATCCGTGAGATACCACGATACTCAAATAGATACTAGCCAGTACCCACGATGTTTTATCGCATTTAAATAATAAAAGTTTTGCGCATTATTGAAATCCTACAGCGATCGGGCGTTGATGCACTACTTCACCGCCTCTTACTGTAATTACATGTGATATTAATAGGATCGTGCGAGTGTGATCTTTCTCACTCTAGTCGACTAGTCTCAAGCCTGTTTTTAATCGTAACCGTACGAATGATAGAGCTATACTTGCCAATTTTCCCGCGACTCTTTTTTCTTACTGTCAATAATTTTGCCCAAATTCAAATATAAAATAGCAAATTACACGATTTCAAATGAATTATCCAACCGTTAAATTATTATTTGTATTATACATATAGGATATTTTGATTATTACTTTTCGAATAATTAACTCATCAAGTCGACTTTTAGATACGCCAAATACGATTTAAGTTATATTATTTGCGTATATATGTTGTCTGGACGGACATAATTATTGTAACATTTACCACTCTATCGCGATGATATACGAAATACAAATTTGTAGAACTGTTTTTCCAATATATATAAGAGATCCAATTTATCCTCGTAAGACGAGATATCCGTTTGAGCAGTTTATTGCGCGTTATTATGTCATTATGTCGATATTGCAATGGCTATGTCACTTCTGCGGTTAAGTGTAAAAATAATTGTTACAATTCAACTGTTATGTAAGGGACAGGTCCTACTGCCGTACGATTTCAAAATTATTGTACCGCGATTGCCCAAGATTTGATAAAATATTATCTGACTCGACTAGTTCTTTGTTTTGTTTCTTGTTCGATATCGTCGATGATCGAATTATTTATACGATAATGTAAAGAACGAATATCGTGAATTTCCTTGTCGTTCGAAATTTTCTAATCTTTTGAACTATACAGTAATCAAATATATATGATAATGATTGAGTACGACTAATAGACATAATAGTTACAAAAAGAAAAAAAGAAGCATCACTTTTTGAAGCATCTTTGATATTTGGGTAAGCGCGTATTTAATTTCGAAGACTTGGATTCACCGCGTCTTTAATGAGACCAAATTCGAGAATTTTCTTTGCGTATGCTTCAATATGTTGGCAGTATTATTGCATTATACTGGAATGTATATGGACTATCACCTGTTGTGTATCCGAACGAAATTTCTCAAATATAGACCGCGATGCATGATACACTCATTATTGTGCGTGTGTGTGTCTCGCTGGAAATGTCACACGCATATATGTGAAAATGACATACGCGCTCACACATAAATACGCACACACACACACACACACACACACACACATAGGATTTCTAATAATTAATAAGACTTTGTTCGAATGCAAGTAGAATATATTAAAGACCTTCACTATTTTGTAAATTTCGCAATAGTTATATAGGAGTGGAGAAATGTAGTTTTGTATCATTTTCTACTGTTAGCAGATCGTCAACAGATTCGAGTCATTTTGAATAAGACCTTGTCTACAGAGCTCATTTTATTGTTTCTCGCGCACTCATTTACTAATATTGTTTAATTAACTTCCTAACTATTGCGGAATGATTTTGCAAAATGATGGAGAACTTTCCTGTTTAAAATAACCTACTGGCACACGAGCGTTTTGTTATTAATTGTTAGACACTTTATGTGCATGTGTTTGTACGTACAT